CTGCCCAGACGGTGAATAATGTGGGGCCTGGAGGCGGAGGCGGAGGCAAAGAGGGCCGAGGGCGGGGTCTGGAGCAGAGAGAGAAGAGGCGACCCCTGGGCACTGCGCCCTGTCCCCTGTGGCCTGCAGGCACCCCCTCCTCCAGAGACCCCGGGGGACCCCCGGCCGGGCTAGGGGCGGCCATCGACCCCAATCAATCAGGTCAGGACCTGGGGGCGTGGCCAGCGCGGGGAGGGGGAGGGGGAGGTGCTGTGCAGAGACAGAGACAGAGACAGAGAGACAGAGACAAGGGCAGAGCCGCAGAGCAGCGGGCAGCAGAGACGATCCCCGCCCCGGGTTATTTTTAGCCCTGAAAGCCCCTGCAGGCCCAGGGGCCCTCCCTCCTCCCCCCCGGACCCCGGTCTGCGGGCCCCCGCCCCTATCCAGCTTCCCCTACAGCCGCGCCCGCCATCTGAGCCCGCCGAGCCTTGGCGGCGTGCGCCCCCGCCGTGACTCGGTTTCCCCGGGGGCAGCCCGCTCGCCGGGACCCTCCCACTGCTCGGCCCGGCCTCGGAGCCCCCACGTCCGCCCGGACCCCGAGGCGTCCCATCGCCAGGTGAGGCCGGCGCAAGGGGAAGTGGGCGGCGCGGGGGGACTGTACGTGGGTCGGCGGGGGTGCGTCGCGGCGGGCGGTGACGCGGCCAGGTGCTGGGTGTCGAGATGTGGGTGACCGGGAGGGAGCTGTGGGCCTGGAGCCGAGGGGAGATCGTGGAGCGGTTTCCCGGTCTTCGCGGGGCCTGCGACCAGGAAGGTGTCTGCGATTCCCTGGGTGTTGGGTGTGGTTTTGAGTGCGGACCTTGCATGGGCAGCTGTGTGTCTGTGTCTGTCCTTGTGTATCTGGCTGTGTGTGTGTTTATGTGTCTGTCTGCCCATGTGCATTTCTGTGTGTCTGTCTGCCTGTGTCTGTGTGTCTATCTGCCTGTGTCTTGCACACACGCGGTGGCTGCCTCTGGCCGGCTTGCTGTGACTCTTGCGTCCACCATAAACCCAGGCCTCATGAGCCAGGCCTGTCCCCTCTTCTCCTACCTGTCCCCTCATGTGGCACCCCTGGTAGAGCCACAGTGAGTGCTGGGAAGGCGCCCATTTGGCAGATGAGGAAACTGAGTCTGAGGGGACCACATGCATGGGGGCCGAGCCTAGCCAGTTATGGCGTCCCCCCTCTGCACCCCTGGGTTGGGGGTGGGAATGGTGTCACAAACAGGAAAAGTTCACGGAAGCCAAGCGCTCCGGCGGCCTGTGGGGCAGGAAGACGGGTGGCCTGGGGACCGACAGGGTCTCTGTGTGTCTAGCGTGTGTCCTGTGTGGGTGGCTGTGAACGTGAGTGGTCCACACTCAGGGGCCAGCATCAAGCGTGGTCCTCTCCCAGCCCCGGGGACCGACCTGGTCCCCACAGTGTCAGGTCAAAGGGTGTCGACGGTCGCCTGGCCCACGATCAGGGGTCTCTGGGAACATGGGAAACACAGGCTGAGGAGCTAGGGCCCTCTGAGGCCACTCAGAGCCTCTGGCGCCCGCCTGGCCGCAGGGAGGCCCCAGGCAGGGGCACAGCGGGGCACAGGCTTGGGGACAGGAGCGAGGCAGGCCCGGGAGGAGCAGCCCAAAGGGGTCTGCGCCCATTTCGAGGAGGGGGACAATTGAGGCTCGCCCAGCCCCTGCCCCCAGCTTGGCGGTGGCAGACCCAAGCCTCGAATCCAGGCCTGTCTGAGGCAGAGTCGCCACTAGGGGAGGCTGGGCGGGCCCACGGTGTGGGGACAGGCAGACCCGCAGGCCAGGAGGGTGGGGTGTTGAGTGCTAGAAGAGACTTCGTAACAGATGGGTGGATCACAAGGTGAGGCTTGAGGGGTGGCGGTGGGGGATGATAGGGGAGCTTCAGGCTGAGGAGGGGCCGGGTCTTGGAAACCAAAGTGCATATTCCATCCCGGGCCGCACAGGGGGCCCGGGCTGGTGCCAGGACCCGCCCACGCCCCTCACTTTGGTCCCCGATCAAGGACAGCGCCTGGACAAGGGAGAGCTGAGTCCCTGTCCTCCAGAGCCAGCCCCTGAGGCCGTGTGATTCCTTGCACACGGGATCCAGCTGAACTCCACAAGCCCCCGCCCATCATCAAAGTTCCAGCAACTCAGCCCCTTGAAATTCTAGAACCTGGAGGCCGTAGGATTCCAGAACTCGGGCTCCTTAGAAGGCCAGAACCCCGAGCCCTCCAACTCCAAACCTCCCGGTCCTTGGGCCTGGAATCCGGCATCCACACCTGCCATAGGCACAGAGAGGCAGGTGATTGTTCTGGGGCCGCACAGCACTGGTGCTGGAACTCTGTCTTGGGAGAGGGGGCCGTGCTGGCCCTCCCTGCCAACGTGGGAGGGCGGGGAAACCATGCCCAGTCCCCCGACTGGCCCCCTGCCTGTGGAACTTAACACGGCTGCTATCGCCTGTACCTGTTGGGGGGACTGGAAACTGCCAGCTGTAGCCAGAGGGTTCAGTGCCAGCTTCCATCCTCCCCCGGCCAAGGGCTCTGGGTCATGCATTTGTCCCTAGGTGCGGGGAGCATGAGGGAACCCTTTGTGTGTGTACCCATGTGTATGAGGGTGGGGGGCAGAGGGGACCATGAGACCCGGGAGGCCAGGGCTGGGACAATGGCCTCAGACACAACTGAGCCTGCAGGAATGTTCAGAAACATCCCACACCAGCTTGCTAGGGAAGGAGTTCCCCGTCCCAGGAGGAATTCAAGTGCCAAATCTGAAGCTGCGAAGAGAATGTTGTTGCACTAGAGTCTTGGGCCAAATCCCCGCTCCATGGCTAGCCTCCCACCCTGGCTGTCTGAGCCTCAGTTTCCCCAGCCGAGGCCCTGGTCTCAGTGAGCCGTCAGCGGCCTTGGCTCTCGGCCCGGGAGGGAAGCTCGCTACCGCTGTTAGGACCTGGATAATTTATGAGGCTTGATAGGAGCCCCGGCCAAGGCGCCAAGTAACGAGATGGGGAGCGAGGGCTGGCGGCTACACACACGTTCACTGCCACGGCCACCAGCGGCTTTCAGTGAGCACCTACTGTCTGCTAAAGGCTGGTTTAGCTCCGTCCACCCTCACCCCCATTGTACAGGCAGGGAAACCGAGGCTCAGAGCAGGGACGTGAGTCCAGCGTCAGTGGGCAGCTAAGTGGCCAAGCCAGGCAGGATTCAAATCGAGACAGACCAACGTTGTAGAAACTTCCATTCTCTTAAAGAAAATTCATCTAATCACACCCCCACACCTGCTTCCCACCAGCCATTCAATTCATAGTGTGCTTTTTAAGCGTTTATGCCTATTTATAGGGTCTCTGGATGGCTCAAACTGTGATTGACTGCTAACCTGAAGGTTGGTGGTTCGAACTCAGCCAGGGGCACCTCAGAAGAAAGACCTGGCATTCTACTTCCGAAAAATCAGCCATTGAAAACCCTGTGGAGTGCAGTTCTCCTCTGATGTACCTGGGGTCGCCATGAGTACGAATTGGCTCAGTATGGACTGCTTTCTGTTAAGATTACAGCCAAGAAAATCCTATGGAACAGTTCTACTCTGTAACACACGGGGTCACCAGGAGTGGGAACTGACTCCATGGCAACTAACAACAAATACGTTATTTATGTGTAACTCAGCCTGCGTTTAAATCTCAGGTCAATTCCTGCTGAATTGGGTAACCTCGGACAGGTTACTTAACTGCTCTGTGCCTCAGTTTCCCCCCGCTGCAAAATGAAGTTCAAAGTAGTGCCTACCAGCTTTCACTGCCTGGCTCTGGCAAACTCCTACACAGCCTTCAATGCCCCATGCAGTCCTCCTCCCCACTTTGGCCCTCACCGTTCCCTCCCCCAAGTGCACCCTCACTGCCCACCCAAAGATGACTTGTGATGTGGGCCCAGGGCGAAGGGCAGGGGAGCCGGGATCCAACCGCGACCCCCTGCATGACCTTACACAAGTCGCTGCCTCTCCCTGGACTTTGAGGTCTTCTGGGAAATGTCCTGTTTGAGAATTGGAGCTGTTTATTGAATGGTCTTGCTTTATTTTTAGTCTGTTTCATCACGTCTGGCCTTGATTCCATGGTGCAGCCAGTTCGTCCACACACAGCCGTCAGGCCGTGCGTCTCCCTGGTTTTCTCCTCCAGACCCAGACCAGGAGCGAGTCCCCCCATTGCTGTTTGTAACCCATCTCCAGGGAACCCAGCACTCCAAATGAGCTGGGGTTCTTTCTTTGATTCCCAAAATGGAACGGGATTTCTGAGTTTATTTCTTATTATAAAAGCTAGAGGCCACAAAAATGGGTAAAAGGAATCCACATAATCCCAACATGTGTGAGAAAGGGCATAAGTATCCCCTGCAGTCCCCCTAAGGGACCAGTGGGGCCAGCCCTCCCCTACGTGCATTCTGGAAAAATCCTGCCGCACGCACTGCCTCTGGAGCCAGTGACTCTTGGCTGACAGCCAGCTGCCGTCCCTGCACTGGCCTTGCCTTGGAGGTCTGAATTTCTGTTTGACAAGTGAAATCTGGTCTGGATACTGCAGTCTGCTAAGCCTTTGGATGGGTGTCAGGTGGGCAAACTGAGGCTCAGAGAGAAGAAATCTCTCCTGGGGCCACATGGTGAGCGCCAGGGCTGGAGTTCATACCCAGGGCTCCTCAGCCCTTCTCTGGGACCCAACACATACGTCCTGGTGTCCCCCAGGGGCCCCAGAGGGGATAACCTTGGTCCTAGTCCCTGAAGCGCACTGAGTCCAGGGCAAGACAGAGCTACAGAGTGTAGTAGTAATAGTAATGGTAGCTGTGGTATTAGTAATAATACAACCCAAGTGAGAAGTGAGGTAAGTCAGGAAAGGCTTCTTCAAAGAGGGGATCTTGGAGCTGGGGCATTGAAGGCTATGTAGGAGTTCACCAAATCACCAGCAAATTCTCTCTCTGCCTCCCAGGTGTGCCTGAGCCAGTGCCAGCTCGTCCCTCCTGCAACATCAGCCAGATGGAGTGGTAACCATCCCCGTTCAGCTCCAGCACCATGTGGCCCAATAACAGCTTGCTAGGGCCCTGCTTCCGGCCGACGAACATCACGCTGGAGGAGCGGCGCCTGATCGCCTCGCCCTGGTTCGCTGCCTCCTTCTGCCTGGTGGGCCTGGCCTCCAACCTGCTGGCCCTGAGCGTGCTGGCCGGTGCACGGCAGGGCAACTCACACGCGCGCTCCTCCTTCCTCACCTTCCTTTGCGGCCTGGTGCTCACGGACTTCCTGGGGCTGCTGGTCACTGGTGCTATTGTCGTGTCCCGGCACGCCATCCTCTTTGACTGGCACACCGTGGACCCCAGCTGCCTCCTCTGCCACTTCATGGGTGTGGTCATGATCTTCTTTGGCCTGTGCCCGCTGCTGCTGGGGGCTGCCATGGCCTTGGAGCGCTATCTGGGCATCACGCGGCCCTTCTCGCGCCCGGCCGCCTCCTCGCAGCGCCGCGCTTGGGCCATGGTGGGGCTGGTGTGGGCCGCCGCGCTGGCGGTGGGCCTGCTGCCGCTGCTGGGCGTGGGTCGCTACACAGTGCAGTACCCTGGCTCCTGGTGCTTCCTCACACTGGGCACCGAGCCCGGCGACGTGGCCTTCGGCCTGCTGTTTGTGCTGCTCGGCAGCCTCTCCGTGGGGCTGTCCTTTCTGCTCAACACGGTCAGCGTGGCCACACTGTGCCATGTCTACCACGGGCAGGAGGCTGCCCAGCAGCGTCCGAGGGACTGTGAGGTCGAGATGATGGCTCAGCTCACGGGTATCATGGTGGTGGCCACTGTCTGCTGGATGCCGCTGCTGGTAAGTCGTAGCTGAGTAGTGATAGTAGTAATAGCTGTGGTAATACAGTACTCCTCACTGATCGGCGGGGGATCCGTTCCAAGGCCCCTAGCGGATGCTTGAAACCGCAGATAGTACCGAACCCTGTATGTACCGTGTTTTGTCCTAATCGTACATACCCACGATAAAGCTTAATTTATAAATTAGGGACAGTAAGAGATTAACAATAACTAATGGGCCGGTAGCATATACAGCGTGGATACGCTGGACAAAGGGATGATTCCCAGCCTGGATAGGACAGAGCAGGGTGGCATGAGATTTCATTTCACGTTTTTGGACCTCGGTTGACGGTGGGTAACTGAAACTGCAGATAAGGAGGGGACTACTGTGATAATAATAATAATAATAATAATAATAATCCCCAAGTTGGGAGTGAGGTAAATCAGGAAAAATTTTTCAAGGAGGGGATATTCAAGCTGGAGCATTGAAGGCTGTGTAGGAGTTCACCAGTGAGGACTCTGCAGGAGGCTTCTCCCACCCTTGGCCTACCCAGAGATGGGTAAATGGGCCTTGAGCATGCCAGGCAGAAGAAACAGCACGTGCAAAGGCCCTGAGGTAGGACCAGGCCTGGCAAGTTGGAGGAACAGTGAAGAGGCCCGTGTGGTGGAGCTGAATGATTGAGGGGGAGATAGGAGGAGCGGAGGGCAGGGAGAGGTCGGGGCAGGCCGTGCAGGGCCTCCGGGAGGACTTGGGCTTTTCTCCGACGGGAGGTGGGAGCCCGGGAGGGCTGTGGGCAAAGGAGGGAGAGGCCCTGACTCAGGTGCTCATGGGCGCCCTCTGGCTGCTGCGGAGGGAACAGCCTGTGGGGGCAAGGGCGGGGAGCCAGGGATGAGGCTGAGGCGTCTGCACTGGTCCAAGCTGGTGGTGATGGGGCTGGACCAGGTGGAGGCAGAGGAGGGGGAAGCACAGGGCATGTACCCAATAAATAATAAGACACGAATGTGGAAACGCCCTCGGCTCTACGAGACCAGGCCCAGGAGGGACCCAGGGGGAAGGGACGATAGCCCGTTTCCCAGTCAGAAGCACCATCCTCTAAGCACCGCTCCCCTTGCAGGCTCCGGGTCCCTCGCCCTGTAGGGATGCTCAGAGCCTCGCTCAGCCCTGACCACGCCACCCCGCAGACTCGCGCATGCGCGCACGCACCGGCCTCAGCCTCCTCCCGGTAGGGGGCGCCCTGCTCTAGACATAAGGTCGCTAAGAACTGCCCCCTAGGGTTTCCAAGGAGCGGCTGGTGGATTGGAACTGCGGACGTTTTGGTTAGCAGCTAAACTCTTAAGCCACTGGACCACCAGAGCTCCAAACTTTGCAAAGGACGGAGCGCAAATATTTTTGGCTTTGTGGGCCAGCCGGTCCTCTTCACCCTGTCACTGTAGCGCAAAAGCTGCCATGGATACACGTCATCAAACGAGCATGGCTGTGTGCCAATAAAACTTTATTTATGAACCCTGAAATTTGAATTCATGTCGTTTTCACGGCTCACAAAACGTTATGCTGCTTTTCGTTGTTTTCACACTCCTTTAAAATGTAAGGACATTCTTAGCAAAAACAAAAACAAAAACAGGTGGTGGACGAATCCCTGCTCTAAGATCTGCCATAGCTCCCCATGGCTCGTAGAGGAAAGACCGCGGGCACGCCCCCCAGACTCCCCTGGGAAACTCTTATTAGTCTCCAGTTAACCTCCTCTGGCCATGTGGGCTCTGGTAGCTGGGCGGACGCCATCACAGCTCAAACAACCTGTTCATATGTCCGTCTCCCTGACGACTGTGAGCCTATGAGGGTGGGAATTGGCTCTGTCCCAGCCACTCATGTGTCCCCAGCATCGCCTGGCACATGGTAGGTGCTCAGGAAATTTTTTTTTTTAGGAAAATAAATGAACACACCAGATATGATAATAACAGTGGCAGTAACAGTAATTCCTAAGGTCCCTAGGTGGCGAAAACGGTTTGCACTCGGCTACTAATCGAAAGGTTGGTAGTTCTAACCCAAACAGCCGTGCCACGGAAGAAAGGCCTGGCGATCTGCCTCCATAAAGATTTTAAAAAAAAATTGCGCAGAGTCAATTCTGGTTCATAGTGACTCTATAGGACAGGGTAGAATTGTCCCATAGGATTTCTAAGGCTGTAAATCTTTCTGGAAGCAGGCTGTCACGTCTTTCTACCTCAGAATGGCTCGTGGGTTCGAACCGCTGACTTTTATCAGTTAGCAGGAGAGCACTTAACCACTGCGCCATCAGGGCTCTCGCCATGGAGATTACAGCCTGGAAAACCGTAGGGGGCTCAGTTCTACTCTGTAACACGTGGGGGCGCCCTGAGTCAGAAGCCACTCAACAGCGGCTGGTTTGCTTGTTTCATTTACTTACTTTTTAAGAACAGGAATATCACCGTATTGAATGATTTCAGAAGAGCAGGAAGAGTGTGCTATTTAAATTTTATTTTTTGTTATTGTTGAGAATATGCACAGCAGAACACACATCCATTCAACAGTGTCTCCATGTACATTTCAGTGGCGCTGATTCCATTGGTGCAACCATTCTCACCCTCCTTTTCCGAATTGTTCCTCCCCCAAGAATGTAAACTCACTGCCCCCTAAGCTTCCTATCTGACCTTCCAAGTTACTGTTGTCAGTTTGATCCCATATAGATAGTTCTAGAAGAGGACAGTGCTCAAGGCAGACATTCTTTACTAGTTAGGCTAAACCGTTGTTTGGTTTTAAAAAGACTTCAGGGGATAGTTCTGGTTTAAGGTTTAAAGGGAGTGTGCTATTTTCTGCACGCATCAACAGAAACTCGGAGAGGTCAGGCAGCTCTCTGGACGTCACACAGCAAGGCCGTGAGACTCACACTCAGGGGATGAGCGGGGCGAGGCCGGGGAAGGGGCAGGGCTGGCAGGCGGGACGGCCCCTGGCTAACCGCTCTGTCCCTGTGCCTCGGCAGGTCTTCATCGCGCAGACAGTGCTGCGGACCCCGCCCCTCATGAGTCCAGCTGGGCAGCTGCCTCGAGCCACGGAGAAACAGCTGCTCATCTACCTGCGCGTGGCCACCTGGAACCAGATCCTGGACCCCTGGGTGTACATCCTCTTCCGCCGCGCTGTGATTCGGCGGCTCCAGCCGCGCCTCAGCGCTCGGGCCAGGCCTCTCTCACTGCGGCCCCAGCTCACCCAGGGCCCCATGCTGCAGTAGGGCTCGGAATGGACATTGGTGGCGGCTCTGGAAGGCCATCCAGCCAGAGTGACTCTGCCAGCATGTCCCCCATTAGATTCTGTCCTCCCTGATGCTTCTGTCTGCCTATGCTGGTGTTCCAGGAGCTGGGGGTGCTGGGTGGACAGAGAGCTGGAGCGGCAGCACTGTGGGCTATTTCTGTCAGACTTGGGGACCCCCAACTCCTCCCTGATCCGCCTCTCCAAGGCCTCTCCCCTCTCTCAGCCCCCTCCCTATTCCAAGTCCCCTTCTTTTTCTCTCTAAGCACCACTTCCCCTTTCTGAGCCCCCTCCCATCTCTGAGCACCCAACCCCAGGAAGGGTGTATGTGTCTGGGGAGAAGGTTCTGGAGAAAGTTAGACTTGTAAGGCTCAGGGTAAGGAGCCCTGGTGGCACAATGGTTAAATCCTCGCTGCTAACCAGGTCGGCAGTTCGAACCCACTAGCACCCCAGAGGCAGAAAGATGTGGCTGTCTGCTTCCGTAAATATTTACAGCCTAGGACACTCTATGGGGCAGTTCTAGCCTGTCCTATAGGGTCACTATGAGTCAGAATCAACCCGATGGCAACGGGTTTTGGTTTGGTTAAGGCTCAGGTGAACAAGGCCTGACCTTCCAGAAATCTCTTCAAGGAGGAAATAACCTCCTTGCCGGGCTGCGATTGGCTCCCCTTGAAACCCCAATCTGAGAAGGTCGTCTAGAAAAAAATTGAATGTGAATGGGGAGGGCACCCCCTCTCTTGCCAAAGTATCTGCCCCCAACTTTGGGTCAGGAAGTTTTCAGCCTTGGAAGTTGAATGCATCAAATTCCTATCCAACCCTGGGCCGGCGGTCGGCAGGGCTGAGAGCAGGACCAGGGACTTGGGGAAGGAGGGTGAGGATGGCGCTAGCATCTCGATTCTCTCCCACCTCATTTACTGAGTGTTCCTTGAGCACTTTGCAACTCCTAGCTCCTTGAATTCTCCCAACAGCCCTTATGGGGCAGTTGTATGATTAAACCCGTTCTGAGGTTGGAAAAAAGAGAGGGAGGGATTTACGTGAGAACACGGGGTGAAGCAGCTGCTTTCTCAACCCCAGCTGTGGCTCATATCCTTCAGAAGTTTATCATTAGTTCATTCATACATTCACTCCACAGTATTTGCAGGTGCCCCAGGGTCTTGAGCAGCACCTGGCACGTAGTAGGTGCTCAATAGTGACCGAATGGGTGGATGGCTGGGTTTCTATTGAGCATCTTGTACGTTCAGACTATAAGCTTGCACACATGTGGCATTTAATAAAGTGACTGGCACATAGTAGGTGCTCAGTAAATATTGACCAAATGGACAAATGGAGTTTCTACTGAGTGCTTTGTATGTTCAGATAATGAGCTTGCACACATGTGGCATTTAATAAAGTGCCTGGCACATAGTAGGCACTTAATGAGTATTGGGTATTGGTGTCATATTTCCACCCAGCACCCCAGGCCCTCATCCCTGCCCCCCCGCCAAGTTCCCCCAGAAAGGACACACCCAGCTGCAAGGATGGGAGGTGCCTTTATTCACCACCAGCCCTCGAGGTACATGAGGAAGGAGCTGCTTCCTGACCCCCATTGCCATGCCTCTGTCCCCTCCTTTTTCCTCCACAGACCGGGGATCCACTTACGTCTCCAGGCCAGGCCCGGATGAAACTGAACCCCCTGTTTCCACCCTTCCCTTGCTCACTGGGGGAATGAGGTCACCTGCTTCTGGGGGACCCAGGCTGGAAGGGTCAGGAGGGAGATGGGGGCCACTTTTCTAGGGAGGCCAAAACGATGTTACACCCAAGCTATGAGCTGTCACAGAGGGGGAGGGGCTCTGAGCCATGCAGACCAGGCCCTGACTCCTGGGGCATGCAGGAGGGGGCAGGTCCCTGAGCTGGGGGTTTGGAGGATTGGGAACTCAGGGGGTCCCTGGGAGCAGGACTAGGAGTGGCAGATATAGTAGGTGGCGTGGGCTTCTGGGGTCCCAGCTGCGGCTTGGGGGAGAGGGCTGGCTTCTGAGGCGTGGAGGAGGCCTGTGGCTTTGGGGTCAGGTGGGAAGCTGGTGGGCATTGGGCTGGGCCCGGGATAGCCTGGGTTCCATGTACCAGATCATGGGGCTGAGGCAGAGGCCTTGGGACTTTGCTAGGGGCTGGAGTTGGGGCTTTAGGGGGTGGGCTTGGGGGCTGAGGTCTGGCTGGGGGCTTGGGATCAGGCTGGGTATTAGGGTCAAGGCCAAGGGTCTGTGGGCGGATGCCATTTCTGGAGCTGAGCTGGATTCTTGAGCAGGTCTGGGTTCCAGAAACAGGCTGGGTTCTGGAACTAAGGTGTGCTCCAGGTCTGGACTGATTTCCTGAACTGGGCTGGGTTGCAGACCCAACCTGGGTCCCAGAGCCTGGCTGGGTCTCAGAGCTGAACTGAATCCTGGAACTGAACTGGGTTCTGGAGCTGGGCTGGGTTCTGGAGCTGGGTTGGATTCCAGAGCTGGGCTGGGTGCTAGAGCTGGGATGGGTCCTAGAGCTGGGCTGGACCCCAGAGCTGGGCTGGACCTCAGAGCTGAGCTGGGTCCCAGAGCCTGGCTGGGTCTCAGAGTTGAACTGAATCCTGGAACTGAACTGGGTTCTGGAGCTGGGCTGGGTTCCGGAGCTGGGTTGGATTCCAGAGCTGGGCTGGGTTCCAGAGCTGGGTTGGATTCCAGAGCTGGGCTGGGTTCCAGAGCTGGGTTGGATTCCAGAGCTGGGCTGGGTTCCAGAGCTGGGTTGGATTCCAGAGCCTGGCTGGGTCTCAGAGTGGAACTGAATTCTAGAACTGACCTGGTTTCTAGAGCTTGGCTGGGTCCTGGAGCTGAGCTGGGTTCCAGAGCTGGGCTGGACCTCAGACCTGAGCTGTGTCCCAGAGCTGGGCTGCGTCCCAGAGGTGAACTGAATGCTGGAACTGAACTGGGCTCTGGAGCTGGGCTGGGTTCTGGAGCTGAGATGGGTTCCGGAGCTGGGCTGGGTTCTGGAGCTGGGATGAATCCCTGAACTGGGCTGGGTTCTAGAGCTGGGCTGAGTTCCAGAGGTGGTCTGCATCCCAGAGTCCAGCTGAATACCTGAGCTGGTTTGGGTTGTGGCCTGGAGCTGGTATCTAGAACTTGGCAGTGTTTTAGAGATGACCTGAGCCCCAGAGGTTGGTGGAGCTCCTGGATGGGCCTGGGCCTTGGAGCTGGGCCTATTCTCGGAGCTAGACAGGGTTGTGGAGCTTAACTCTGTTGCTGCACTGGTCTGAGTCCCAGGACTAGACTGAATTCCAGGGTTGGGTTGGATCCTGGAACTTGGCTGGGTCTCAGCAACTGACTGTGTTTTGGAGTTGGATAAGGTTTCAGAGCCAGTCTGGATTCCTGGGCTAAGCTGCACTCCAGAGCTGATCTGAATTCTGGAGCTGGACTGAGTTCTGGAGCTAGGCCATGCTTTGAAGTTGGTCTGGGTCCCAGAGCTGGACTGCATTCTAGAGCTGGTTTGTGTTTTGCAGTAAGAGTGGGGCTCAGTGCCAAGCTGAGTTCTGGAGCTGGGTCTTGCTTCAGAGATGGATGGAGTTCCAGTGTTGATCTGAATTCTGGAGACAGCCCTAGTTGTAGCACCAGGCTGGGTTCTAGAGCTGGGCTCAGTCTCAGAGCTGGATTCATCGCTGGAGCTGGACTGGATCCCAGCATGGTAGTGAATACTTGTGTGCAGCTGAGTTTTAGAGCAGGGCTGGGATTCAGATCTGGACTGGGCTGCAAAGCAGGTCTGGGTTCCTGAGCTGGTCTGAGTTCTTGAATAGGGCCGTGTTTGGGAGCTATCTCTGGATCCCGAGCTGGCTTGGGTCCTGGAGCTGGGCTGCTTCTTGAATCTCACCTGGGTTCCAGAACTAGCTGGCATTCCTGAGCTGGTGTCCAAGTTCAGCTGTGTCATGGAGCTGTCTTGAGTTCCAGAGTTGGGTCGAGTTTTATGGCAGGGCTTGTTCTTAGAGCTGGGCTGAGTTTCGGAACTGGGATTGGTCTCAGAGCTAGGCTGGGTCTTAAAACTTGTCTGAGTTCCAAAACCGGACTTGATGTCAGAGCTCAACTGGATTCTAGAGATGTGCTTAGGCTCAGAGCTGGCCTGGGCTCTAGAGCAAGGCTTGATCTCAGAGTTGGGTTGGATTTTAGAGATGGGCTTGGTCACAGAGCTGGGCTGGGTTTTAGAGATGGGCTTGGTCTCAGAACTGGAGCTGGGCTTGGTCTCAGAACTGGGCTGGGTTCTAGAACAGGGCCTGGTCTCAGAGATAGACCTGGTCTCAAAGCTGGCCTGGCCTCTAGAGCATGGCTTGGCCTCAAATCTAGGCTTGGTCTCAGAGTTGGGCTGGGTTCTAGAGCTAGGCTTAGCCTCAGAATTGTCCTGGGTTCTAGAGGAGGGCTGGGTTTTAAAACTGGGCTGGGTTCTGGAGCTGGGATGAGTCTCTGAATTGGGCTGGGTTCTAGAGCAGGGCTGGGTCTCAGATCTGGGATGGGTTCTGAAGCAAGGCTGGGCTTCAGGAGCTGACACGGAGGGCTGGGGCAGGGGGCTGGGCTCTGGACTGGGGCTACGCTCGCCCCCAGGGCAGGCTAGCCACAAGCCTCCCTGGCCTCGCTGATGGCGGCCCACACCTCCACCACAAACTCGTCCGGGAAGGCGAACTCTCCCAAGACGGAGTCTAAATGGCGTGCAAACTCCTGAACACTCACTGTCTTCTTGGAGGTCTCCACCATGGTGGACGCTGCAGGCAGAGCGTGAGGGGAAGCGGAAGGAGGTGAGAGTGCTCCCTGGGCCCCAACTTCCCACTGGAACCCCTGCCTCCTCCCCACGGACTGCCCTCCCCCCGGGGTCCACCCAGCTTACCCTGACCCCTTACCCAGCTCGGGGTCCCGAATTCCCATGTAACTCTCCAGCAGGTCGTCGACCTTCCGGGATGCTTCCTCCTCAAATTCACTAGGCTGGAGGAGCAGGGATGCAAAGCAGGGTGTCAGAAGCATCTGACCGCTCCAGCCCAGAACCCTCCCTGCCCCCCTCACCTGTTAGATAGGAGAAGACTGGGACCCCACATCAGTCACTGCTTTTGGTCCACCATTATTGCCCTGCCTCACAAGTAGGACCCATTTTGCTGGCAAGGAAACTGAGGCTCAGAGAAGGGGAGGGTCTTACCCAAGTCCTGACACACCCGGAGTCAGCAGCAGCAGAACTCTAGGTGCAAGAGTCCCTGAAGACCCTTCACTTACCACCTCCTCCACTGTGGCGGCCCCCCCGGAACGAAGGCGCAGGGTCTCTCTCCCACTGGTCACCTTCCCTTCCATGGGACATTTGCTGCTCCGGCTCCTCTGACCGATCATATCTGGAGGAGACAGAAAGGGGGCATATGATCTGGATGGATCTACATCCTTGTAAACACTGGGAGCCACCAGCTGAGCCTTTCTGGAACCTTCTTCTCCTTCAAAGACCTCCTTATGTTCATGGGGTGAATCTTCAGAGATCTTGCTTGAGAACTCACAATTCCTCCCCCAGAAAGCTAGTCCATGCATCCAGAACAAACCATTATAACAGAATGGGTCTAGAATCACCATCCTAATTTTGTTTCACCCAGGATGCTTCCCCAAATCCACCCCCAATTTTCAAAAAGATTTGCTCCAGAGGGACTGCTTCAGACATCCCCATGTCACCAGAGGGTCAGCTTAGAAGAGATCTTGCTGTAGAACGTGCTCTTCCTAATGTACAGGCACGGCTCTCAGAGTTCCCTGCCATGCTAGAGGGCACATCTAGAACCCTATCCTGTCTCATCCTCCCTGGGATCTCCCTCCAGCTGTGCCAGGGTACTTCTAGAACCTCTTGCTCTAGAATAGTACTACTCAGTGGGTCAGCCAATGACGGAGATAAAGACCTTGTGCCGGAATGTAAATTAACATACTGCTTCCTTCATTGAGAAAGTCTTGCTATAAAAAAAACTCAGCTACTAAAAAGGGTGACATACATTCTAGGGCAGAAGTTCTTAACCAGGGGCAATTCTGTCCCCCAGGGGACATCAGAAGTGTCTGTAGACATTTTTGCTTGTCACAACTAGGGGAGGGTGCTACTGGCATCTGGTGGGTAGAGGCCAGGGACGCTGCTCAACACCTTACAATACACAGGACAGCCCTCTAGAACAAAGAATTATCTAGCCCAAAATGTCAATCGTGCTGAAGTGGAGAAACCCTATTCTAGAGCAAGCTCCTTATCTCATCCATGCATCAATGTTATGGATTGAAATATATCCCCAGAAAATATGTGTTGTAAATCCTAACTCCTGGTGGTGCAGTGGTTAAAGTGCTCCACTGCTGACCAAAACATCTGCGGCTCTAACCCACCAGTCACTTCTCAGGAGAAAGATGTAATCTGCTTCCATAAATATTTACTGCCTTAGAAATCCTATGGGGGCAGTTCTATTCTGTCCTATAGGGTCACTATGAGTCAGAATTGACTCAGCGGCAGTGGGTTTGGTTTTGGTTATGCCTGTGATTATAATCCCATTTGGGAATGGGTTGTCTTTGTTATGTTAGTGAGGCAGGATTAGTTTAGGGTATATTTTGAGTCAATCTCTTTTGAGATATAAAAGAGAATAAACAAGCAAGCAGAGGACAGATAAGGTAAGACAGATGCTGTCATGGTTTGAATTATGTCCCCCAAAAAATGTGTGTATCAATTTGGCTAGGCCATGATTCCTGGTACTTCGTGATTTTCCTGTATGTTGTAAACCTGCCTCTGTGATGTTAATGAGGAAGGATGGGTGGCAGTTGTGTTAGTAAGGTAGGACTGGATCTACAAGACTGGATTGTGTCCTGAGTCAATCTCTTGAGATATAAAAGACGGAAGTGAGCAGAGAGACAGGGGGACTTCATACCATCAAGAAAGCAGTGCCAGGAGCAGAGCGCGTCCTTTGGACAGGGGTCCCTGCGCCGAGAAGCTCCTAGTCCGGGGGAACACTGATGAGAAGGCCGACAGAGAAAGACTTCCCCTGGAGCTGACACCCTGAATTTGGACTTTTAGCCTACTTTGACTGTGAGAAAATAAACTTCTCTTCGTTAAAACCATCCA